CTCATTGCTGAGGAGGAACCAGGGGCAGCCCAGAGGAGTCTGAACTCAAAGGTTTAAGCCCACTGCTGTCCCCTGAAGAGGGACTGGCCAAACCTGACTGAAATCCCACCAGGGGCCTGCAAGAAACTGAAATTAGGCTTAAACTGTTCTGCAGTAGAGAATAATCCTCTGTGTCCCCTCAGAGCCAGGCACATATGCCACACTTGGCAAAAATTCCAGCTCTTCCAAGACTGCAAATGTCAAATATCAGGCAAGAGGGTATCGTTCCCAAATGCTGTCTGCACCACGCTCCCCAAAATGCAGTTCTCCTTATGGAATGCTCAGGGCAGAAAACAAAAAGGTGACTCCTGCAGCAGAGTCAGGGCTGGATCTTGCTGTTTTCTGATCCTGTCTTTAGTTCCAAGGCTTTGGTCTCCATCCCAGCACCACCATCCCTCCCTGCCAGGCTCAAGAGCCTGTTCCAGCCTACTGAAAATGCCAGTGGGAACAGAGGAAAAAACTTGTGTGCAATTTTTAACCTGCTCAGCTGGGAAGAGGGGTGGGGAAGATGCACAATTCCATTGGAAGAGCAGGTGGTTCACCGGAAAGGAAAGGAAATAAAATAAAATAAAATAAAATAAAATAAACCCAGTATCTTCCTGCTTCATTCTCTCCCCCTCCTTCCTGGCAACTGAGACATCAAAAGCCCAGTTGCTGCAGCTGCCTACACAGCAATTAAGTGGAATAGTCAAGATGTCAAGCAACACCACTGCCCATTTACTTTGGCTTTCCCAAAATAGCCAACAATCCCCACACGGCAGGTAGGGAGTTTTGGAAACACAGCAAGCCACTCCAAAAGCAACAAACAGCTGCTGAAGACAAGTTGTGTTGTGAGAACATGGCTGGGGAAATGAGAGCACACATCCACTGCAGGATTATTATTATTATTATTATTATTATTATTTGGAAGTGCCCAAGGCCAGCTTGGACAGGGCTTGCAGCAACCTGGGACAGTGGGAGGTGTCCCTGCCATGTGGAACAAGGTGATTTTTAAGACCCCTTCCAACCCAAACCACTCTGGGATTCCAGAACTGGGTGGATGGCTCTCCTAGTCCAGGTATTTGCTGATAAAAAGGTGGTTAAGTTTTAGATTCTGACACTGTGTGTTTGAACTTTGCCACCACAGGTGAAGATGAGCACAGTGCTAATAAAATACTGATGGATTTCCTCCTTTGTAGTGAAATACTCCGAGTTATTCACCAAGTGCCCATCAGTTGCTGGTGGGGATGGGTGTCCCTGTGCTCTGCTCTGGGTGACAAGGTGGGGATCAGGCAGAGGCTGGATCCATCCTGGAGCTCTTCTCCAAGCTCCAGGACCGTGGAGTGTGTCCCAATCCCCTCGGAGATGTGGCACTGCCACCCCACAGTCACTGTGGCAAACAGCCTCAGAGCAGGAAACCATTGCCAGCTCTTCCTCCCTCTTCCTTCCTTCCTCCCTTCCTTCCCAGGGAGTTTCAGAGCTCCCTGCTCTCCCAGGCAGTGAGAATTCCTGCGGATTCACTCCTGGGGATTCACTGCCCTTCCCTGCTGAAGGTGCTGCTCCACCACAATCCCCCCACTCAGAGCCACAGATGGGACAAAAATCAGGAATTCTTAGAAGCTCAGCTTTTATTATGAGCAGGGAATTCAGGCCATGGGCAGCTGTGTCTTCACTTTGCACCTTTCCCTCCAGCACAGCTGCAGGGCCTGCCTGGGGCTGCTGAGGGCAGGTAAGGTTTGGTTTGCCAGCACCTGGACACTGCTGATAACAAATCTGCCCCCGAGCTCCCCCCAGCATTTGTTCTTTCCATGCTGCAGTGTGAAAAGCAACACAATGGGCAAAATGAATCATTTCACCTCCGTGTGCCCACACCTTGCTCTGCCCAAAGCACCTCCTCCATAAACTCACACTCACCTACACAAACCTCTCACCCTCCAAATACACCACAGAGTACTGGGGGGTTATTAATTTTGGGGGTACTTTTATTATTGTTTTCCTAAGAGTCACTAACTGGAGGCTCTGCTGATGAAAAACTCTCTCTATATACAGAGTATATAAAATATTCTGTGTTTTAGTATATAAAAACACAGTGGTTTTAGTCCAAGTCCATTACCTCTCACAAATCAGGACAGAGAAGAGCTGCTCAGCTTTGACTCCAGAATAAAATCCTGACTTTTTGTGGAAAGTACATGCAGACAACCAGAGACAAAGGCTGATAAGTGGCACCAGTGCAAAGTGAAAGTTTTCCCATTCCCAAAGCTCTTGGGTGTTGCATTTTTAAGGCACAAAAGGAGAGCTGGAGAGGCTCTGGAGCCTGCCAAGCCCGAGGAGAGCATCAGGCAGGATGGATGGGGTGTGCTGGGACCCTCCCAACAGAAACCACATGCAGGGAAAGAACAGGAAAGGATTCCTGACTTGGACACGAGCAGGGCTGGACAGCAACAGGGCTTAAAGCAACAAAAACGAACTGGAGGGACTTAATTCTGCCTGGATCCCTGAGAATGCCAAGGGAACTATTAAAAGAAAGTTGTGGGTGGGGAAAACCCCACAGAAGCACCAAGTTTGTCTCTGAAGAGAGGCAGCAAAGTCTCCAGGCTGAGGTGTGCACCAGGCTGCCAGAGAGCTCCAAGAAGTTCAGGACAAGCCCTGAAGCACAGCAAAGCCAAGTGACAGGGGGACAGGGGAGCTGCCACAGGGGAGGAAGGACATCACAGACACCAAAAGAAGAGTCAGCACTGGCTCAGACAGCACCAGGACACACAGACACCACAGAGGGACTGACAGGGCAGGACAGGGAACAACTGCCCAGGTGCTGTCACCAGTGTGGAAAAGCAGTGTTATTTATTCTTCTCCAGGAAGGAGTTCTGGAATCGTTCCACTATTTCAGACTGGCTTATTATGCCCGTATTTTGCCTCACTTAATTCAGTATTACAGCCAGGATTATGCACAGCTTACAGGGGTCATTAGAGCAACCCCCCAGCCAAGATCCAGCAGCACCACGGAGCACAAAACCACTCGAGAAAATATTTCCAAGAGTTCTCATGGCACAAGAGAGGCAGGAGCAGCAAAATATTGGGAAAGAAAAAAGCACCCAGATGTGGTGTGCTGAAACCAGCATGAAAATAGCAGCACCTACAGACAGGCTCTTAATTTTAGACTTACAACAAGGGTGGGTTAAAAACACCAGCACAAACTGAAATGTTTGGACATAATCACAGAGCTAAAAAAAAAACCCTTCAAGGTACATCCATGTGGAAAGAACATGCTGGAGAGTCCAACTTCAAAGAGGCAAAGGTTGCAGATGTTAAATCCTGAGTGCACTGAGGTTCATTAGAAGCATCTTACAGCTAAAAGCTCATCCCTGCATCTCCGTGGTCAGATCCTAGAAACCAGAGAGCCTTTCCAGCAGAGAGCACTCCATGGCATCCTTTCAGAGAAATCAGTTTATTCCTGCCTCAGTATTATGGCAGATTTGCTACGCTTGCTGTCCTGCCCTGCATGCTGAGTGCCCAGCTTAAAACATCTCCCACATCCACAGCACGGCTACAAAAAGCACCTCTGCCTCATCCACCCGAGGGGAGAGGTGTGGAAAGGAACAAAAAAAAAAAATCGGACAAAAATTCCTATGTTGACAAGCAAGTGGAAAAGCAGCGAATTTTTGCCCGGGTGAGCTGGTGCAGCAATGTCACCCGGCGTTCTCCCTGCTGCTGCATTTCTCCACTAGAGGACCCAGGTGAGATGTCTCTACTACAGCTTCTGCAGCTAAACCACGGGGAAAAATATATTAGAGAGAAGAAAAAAAAAAAAAAAAGCCAGCCCCGACATGTGGATGGTCCAATGTAAAATGAATGGAAATGTACTAGTGCATGCGGCACACCAGACGTGCTCCCGTAATTCCCAAAAAACCACGGCCACGCTGCTGAGCTGCTGCTGCTCGGTGGGAAAAAGGTGCTGGTGGGAATGAAGGGTAAATCCCACAGTACCCACGCCGGGCTGGATCGGAGGGCTCCAGCCCAGCGCGAGTGCCGCTACATTCCAACACCAGCACCGCATATTAAGCTGGAAAGTAGCAGATAAACAAAGGCTATAGAAGGTACTAGAGAAGGGCCGGTATCAGCTGTTATTTACCAAATAAACCTCCCATCCACACGGAGATGGCCTTATTTTATTATTATTTTTACGCACACACATCCCCCATTCCCACCCCCCTCCCTTCCCCCACGTATTGACTCAGCTCCTGCCGAATGGGAAGAGCATCATTTAACCGAGCTCTGTTATCACCGCGCTGCCAAAAAACAGCGGCAACGGCTGCTGCCACCCCCAGCGCCCCTTCCCGGGGGCGATACGGCCCGGCCTATCGGCCCCGCTCAACCGCTGCGGGCAAAGCCCCATCCCTGGCACTTCCCTGGCACACGGGGGGCAAGGTGGCACCCCGCGGTTGGCAGCTGGCCGGAGCGAATCCTCCGCTGTCGCCGCTCTCTCCCTCGCCCCGAGGCTCCCCGGAGCCCAGGGGAGCCGAGGAGGTGCCCGGCGGTGCCAGCGCAGGTGCGGGGAGGGGGATGGAAAGCGCTGGTGCTGCAGAGGGAGAGGGGGATGCGCCGGCAGGGGCAGGGGAAGGGCCGGCTTCACCTGCTCCAGGCACGGAGGGAGGGGATGGGCAGGGAAAACCGCATCGCTGCCGCTCGGAGAGCGTGGGATCTGCTTACCTGCGGACCCGAGGGGAGGGGGAGAGGGCACTGCGGCTCGGGGGCAGCGGGCAGGGAAGGGGCGATGGGCGAGGGGCCGGAGCGCGGGGGAAGCGCCGCGGAGCCCGGGACACGCTGCGACACTGCGGGCGACAGGGCCGGCCGGGCCACGCGGTGCGGCGGGGACAGCGGGCACCGAGGGGACACAGCGGCGACACCACGGGGCAAGGATCGGGGTGGGGGGATCTGCCAGTCCCACCTGCCTCCCTCCCTCCCGTCTCCTCTCCCTCACTCACCCTCTGCATGGCTTTCAGGATCAAAGCCAGTTCATAGCGGGGCATCTTAGAGCTGGCAGTGGCGGGAGGAGCGGGGCACGGGGTGGGGAGGAGGGGGCTGCGGCGAGGCCGGAGAGGAGGAGCAGGGGGGACAGGAGGAGGTGGAGGAAGGCGCGTCCCGGCGCTGTGGCGGCTCCTTCCCGCGCGGCTCCCGCGGCTCAGACGCCCGTACGGACAGGGGCGGCGCGGCTTAAAGGGCGCAGGAGCTGCGCACGCTCGACCGGGCCGGCCCTGCCCGCGCCAAGCGCCGCCCCCGCCGGGCCGGGGCTGCCCCGCACCGCGGCCTGAGGGCCGGGACCCCCGCGCGGGCACGGCCGGGCCCTCCCCGCGCTGCCCCCGCGGCCGGCGCCGCCCCCGGCCCCGCCGAGCCGCCCGAGCCGCCGCCGCCGCCGCTGCTGCAGGGAGTGGAAATTTCCACTGCGCCGCCCCCTCCGCTCCCCCCGCCGGGCCGCGCTCACTCCCGGCCGGGGCCGCGCACGGAGCGACGCGGGGGGGCCGGGGCTCGCGGCTGCGCCGCGTGGGGGCCGCGCGTGGCGGGGGCGGCTCGGGCCGGGCCGCGCGTGTGGGACAGCCCAGTGTGACAGCGGGACAGCTCGGGAGTGACACCGGGACACCCTGGGTGTGACACCGGGACACCCTGCTCCTGTGGGACAGCTCGGGTGTGACACCGGGACACCCTGCATGTGTGGGACAGCCCGGTGTGACAGCGGGACAGCTCGGGAGTGACACCGGGACACCCTGGGTGTGACACCGGGACACCCTGCATGTGTGGGACAGCCCGGTGTGACAGCGGGACAGCTCGGGAGTGACACCGGGACAGCTCGGGTGTGACACCGGGACACCCTGCATGTGTGGGACACCCCGGTGTGACACCGGGACAGCTCGGGAGTGACACCGGGACACCCTGCTCGTGTGGGACAGGCCGGTGTGACAGCGGGACAGCTCGGGAGTGACACCGGGACACCCTGGGTGTGACACCGGGACACCCTGCATGTGTGGGACAGCCCGGTGTGACAGCGGGACAGCTCGGGAGTGACACCGGGACAGCCTGATCCTGTGGGACACCCTGGGTGTGACACCGGGACACCCTGCTCCTGTGGGACAGCTGGGTGTGTGGGACAGCCCAGTGTGACACCGGGACACCTCGGGTGTGACACCAGGACACCCTGCTCCTGTGGGACACCCTGCCAATGTCACCGGCGCTCCAAAAGGCTCGAGTGGGATGGGACGTGCAGAATTGTCCCGCTCCACCCGCTGCCGTGGCCACAGACACCTTCCACCGGGCCAGGTTGCTTCAAGTCACAGCCAACCTGGCGCTTTCCAGAACCTTCCTCATCCTCAGGGCACCTCTGCACCCCCAGGACATGGCCATTGTCAGAACTCCTCAGTGCACAGCCAGGACCTTGTCCATCTGCAGAGTCCTTCAGGGCACCCCCAGAACTTCTCCATCCTCAGAGCACCCCAGTGCAGGCCCAGCACCTTCCCCATCCTCAGAGCACCCCCACAACTTTTCCATCCTCAGAACTCCCCAATGCACCCCCAGGACCTCCCCCATCCTCAGGACATCCTCAGAACTTCTCCATCCTCAGAACTCCCCAGTGTTCAGTCAGGACATTCCCCATTCCAAAGGCACCCCAAGGTCCTTTCTCATCTTCAGAGCACCCCCAGGTCCCTTCCCCATTCTGAGGACACACTCAGGACCTTCCCCATCCATTCTCAGAGCACCCCCAGGTCCTTCCCTGTTCCCAGGGCACCCTTAGAACTTCTCCATCGTCAGAGCTCCCCAGTGTTCAGTCAGGACATTCCCCATTCTGAAAGCACCCCGAGGTCCTTTCTCATCCTCAGGGCACTCCCAGGTCCTTCCCTATCCATTCTCAGAGCACCCCCATGTCCTTCCCCACCCTCACGGCACACTCAGGTCCTTCCCCATCCTCAGAACTCCACAATGCACAGCCAGGACATTTCCCAATTCCAAAGGCACCCCAAGGTCCTTTTGTTATCCTCAGGGCACCCCCCTGTCCTTCCCCATCCATCCTCAGGGCACCCCCATGTCCTTCCCCATCCTCAGGGCACACTCAAGTCCTTCCCCATCCTCAGAACTCCACAATGCACAGCCAGGACATTCCCCATTCCAAAGGCACCCTAAGGTCCTTTCTTATCCTCAGAGCACCCCCAGATCCTTCCCCATCCATCCTCATGGCACACTGAGGTCCTTCCCCATCCTCAGGGCACCCCCAGGTCCTTCCCCATCCTCAGGGCACACTCAGGTCCTTCCCCATCCTCAGAACTCTGCAGTGCACAGCCAGGAATTCCCCATTCCAAAGGCACCCCCAGGTCCTTTCTCATCCATCCTCAGGGCACCCCCAGGTCCTTCCCCACCCTCAGGGCACACTCAGGTCCTTCCCCATCCTCAGAACTCCATAATGCACAGCCAGGACATTCCCTATTCCAAAGGCACCCCAAGGTCCTTTCTCATCCTCAGGGCACCCCCAGGTCCTTCCCCATCCATTCTCAGAGCACCCCCAGGTCCTTCCCCACCCTCAGTCCCAGCAGTCCCAGCCGTGGTGTGAGCAGCCCTCATGGCTGTGCGGGGTGTGGAGGCCCGAGCAGCAGCAGCAGCAGCAGCAGCAGCAGCAGCAGCAGCACAGCAGCAGCATGGAGGTAGAGCTGTGTGTGTGGCCTTGGTGGCCGGGTCCTCCCCGCGAGGGAGGCTCTGCACACGCATTTCCCAGCCTGGCACGCGCCCCTGCCTGGTGCTCACGTGCAGCCACCAAGGTCAGTGACACAGATCCCCGCAGCTGCAGCACACCCGACACCAGCGTCCAGCCGGGCTGGGCTGGAAGCTCAACCCCTTGCTCCCACTAGAGAAGGTGTTGGAGGGGCCTGGGGCTTTGTTTGAACGCTCTTTGTCTTGTCCACAGCAGAGACTTGTCCCTGCCTCCCCTCACAGCCATGCCCAACAAGCTGGCTTTGGCAGAGCCATTAATACTCAGAAACGATCAAGTTTCTGCCCAAGCTGCTGAAGCCCTCATTGCTCGATCCCATCCTCAGGAAAAGGATGAGAGAGCAGCTCCCCTTGGGCTCTTCTGCCCAAGGGGAAGCAGGGAAAGTGACAGATCTTGAGATCAAACAACTTTAATGAAATATCCCTGGAATCCCAGCCCCAGCCCAGCCAGAGAGGCCTCAACACCTCCTTTCCATAGCCAGGCTCGTTTGCTTCTGCTCTGCCTGCACAGGGAGGCTGCCACGGTCACTGCCACGGATCCTGAGGGCAGGAATGGAAGTGGAAAACTCCTCCCAGCGCTTTTCAGCAGGACTTGCAGCTCAGCCAGCCCCGGGTACTGCTGTGGGCCTTCCCCATCCCAGGCAGGTGTGAGCTCCTCGTGCTTCCCAAGGCATCCTGTGCCCTCCAGGCACGAGGGCTGTGCGAGTCCTGGGAGCTGTTTTGGGTACTGCTACAAGACAAATTGCCTGTGCAGAAGTGTTTACAGGTATTCCCAGGCTCCCAGCGCTCCGTGCTCAGGCAGTAATTGCCAGGCAGCTGACAGGGAGAATTTACTGCCTGTTGGTGTTCACAATGCAAACTCTCCCTGGGTTTGCTTCCCTTTACTTTGCTTCCCTGTTTGTTTTCTAATACAGTGTTGTCTGGCCTGACCTTCTTCCTTATTCTGGACATTTGCCTGGCAAGCTCAGGAGGAAATCCAGGTGAGGTGGGAATTTCCAGGTATCCCTGCCATCCCCACATCAGCCATTCCCACCCTCCAGGTGCTCCTTGTGCAGCCACAGGTGACCCATGGTGTTCCTTTTGTCACATTTGGAGCTGTCACATTTTGGCCAGGGGAAGAAAAGAGTGGGGAGAGCTCTAATTCCCAGTTCTTCCAATGCTCTACCTCCTTCAAACATTCCTCTGGCAGAAGAAAAGGAAACTTTCAATCCCTGTCCCTGTTGTCCTCCCAGTGCTGCTTTCAAATGCCAGTATCAGATTCCCAGTAGGGTATAAATTTACAGTCTCTGTTCAATCTGACTTCTGACTCCATTCCACATGGAATCTCCCTAAATACACATCTGCCTGTGGCCAACTCCCCCCTTTTTGGGAATCCCCCCCAGCTGTATTTAAAGCTGTCTCAAGACTCCCCAGACATCAGCCTGAGCCCAAGTCCATTTTTGTCCGTGATGGGATTTGCTGCCAGCAGAAACATTTGATCCTGAGACCTCATAAACCCATTCCCAGTGGATGTTTGATATCCCTGGGATGAGATCTGGGTGCCTGAGGGTCTCTCATGCACATCAGCAACACAGGTAGTGACTACACCTGTCTGTCACACGTGTGTGGGCATCTCATGGGGCATCCCAGAATCCCAGAGTCAGCAGGAAGAGCCCCCCAGTGCCACCCCAGCCCCACCAGCATCACCCCAATCCCTGTCCCCAAGGCCACATCCAGACTGCTCTGGGACAATTCAGTGACTCCAAACCTCCCTGGGCAGCTCAGCCCAAGGCCTGACCACTCTGCCAGGGAAATTTTCTGTCCCAGTCTCCAACCTGAGCCTGCCCTGGTGCCATTTGAGGCCATTTCCTCTCCCCCTTTCCCTGCCCCTCCTGTCAGGAGCTGTGCAGAGCACTGAGGTCCCCCCTGAGCCTCCTTTGCTCCAGGCTGAGCCCCCCCAGCTCCCTCAGGAGTTTTCCAGCCCCTTCCCAGCTCTGTTCCCTTCCCTGGACACGTTCCAGCTGTGCCAGCCCTGCCCTGTCCATCCCTTTATGGAAGCTCAAGATGATCCCCAGATCTTTCACCACCCATCTAAGGTGTCCACCATGTCCAAACTCCCTTGAATCTCACAAGTTTGGTTTTTCCTCCAAAAGCATCCAAAGACTGTAGGAAATGTAATATTTAATATTTAAAAGCACAAGGTTAGAGAGGATGGTCTGAACAGCAAGTGGTGACCATGCCCTGAATACTCAGTAAGGAAATCAAAACTCCCCTGACAGATATTTTATTTACTTTATTTCAGTAATAAGTGCCATGCAAAATGTCCTGACTTTTTCATGCTCTGC